ATTAACTACAGAGTATATAAATATACTAGTATTTTCACCGTGCGATGCACGAAGTGGATTTGTTGTAATATATTAAAAATATTTGAAACGATATATAATTATTTAAATTAAAATATCAAATATTATATAGTGCAATTAAAGATATGGTTTGGATCATTTATGTATTTTGATGTTATCATTGCTTGAATTTCTGTAAATAATTGCTCAAATTAATAGCTAATGTATAGATGTACGCATACAGTACTATGACTTTGAAGATTTTATTTATTATTGTTTAGTATTTTCATAAATTAGGCAAATGTGCTCGTTCTCTAACAACTCAGTTATAGGAATGAATTGTAATCCTAATTCATTTGTGTGGAAGATATATTTTTTTGTGTAGATATATAGCAATGTTTCCATTTAAAACAAAAACATAATATCACCGATTATATTTACACATTATTGAAACTTCTTTGTAGACGACATTGGTAGTGACAACACAATCTTATCCATCCTCGTCTAGAGCTAACACCTTTAGTCCATCATGACAAGTATATATATGGTAGAATATCACTCAATTAGTGATCCTTTTATATTTTTTCAATCAATTAGTAATATCAGATCCATTTTCAGCCAATTATTCTTTTTTATATATTTCCACTCAATTAGTCAATTAGAATATCAAATGCAGTGATATTTTTACCTAATTTTCGTTCCATTTTTAATTGATGATGTAGATATTATTATTGAAATATTTTTGTTCCATTTTTAATTTACCTTTACTATTGTTTAAAATATGCATTTACTATTGCTGATATAGAATATTATTATTGAAATATTTTCGTCGAATTTTTAATTTCCGTTCCATTTTTAATTAAAATGCATTGATCTGACCATTACTTTTTTATTTTAGTCAATTATGGATCATTTTTTATTTGCAGTAAATTATTAATAATCATTTATTTTTATATTTTTAGTCAATTAGTAATATTAGATTCATTTTCAGTCAATTATTCTTTTTTATTTTCAATCAATTAGAATATAGATGCAGTGATATTTTTACTTAATTTCCGTTCCATTTTTATTTCATGATGTAGAATATTATTATTGAAATATTTTCGTTTTATTTTTAATTTTCGTTTCATTTTTAATTTACCTTTACTATTTTTTAAAATATACATTTACTATTGATGATGTAGAATATTATTATTGAAATATTTTATTTTCATTTTTAATTTGATGATGTAGAATATTATTATTGAAATATTTCCGTTTCATTTTTAATTTCCGTTCCATTGTTTGAAATTGTGAAATATTTATGATATAATTGTGATTTGATTTATTCTACTGTGTAATATTATTGTGAAAAATTAAAACACAATAATTTGACCATTTCCTTTTCCATTTTAGTCAATTACGGATCATTTTTTTTCAATCAATTATTAATATTCATTTCATTTTTCAAATAACTTAATTTCCATTCCTTTTCCATTTGTAATTTTCAGTCAATTATTAATATTCATTTCATTTTCCAATTTACATAATTCTCGTTCAATTTTTAATTGATGATGTAGAATGTTATTGTGACATATTTCTATTCCTTTTTGAGTTTACGTTCCTTTTTTTAATTTACCTTTACAATTTACTATTGTTTGGGCGGAAAATCAAGTAAATAGGATTTTGTTTTTAATTATAGTATAGATATAAATATAGATATAGATATAGATATAGATTATTTATTTATTTATTATTATTATTGTTATTATTAAGTTAATTCTGTTTCTCTTTTCATTTTTCTTTTTCTATTATTTGGGAAGAAGTGTTTGGGCAAGAATGAAAGAAGGAATTTGTTTTTAATAATAAGTATAGATAGATTATTAGTTTAGTTATCATAATAATAATTATTATTATTAGTCAATTATACTAAATGTGCGTTTGGAAACCCAAAAAATGGTTCAGAAATTATTTTCTAGGTGTCCAGTGTTTGATTTGAGAGGTGAATTTTAAGGAAAATGACTTTCATTTTTTTTTTTTTTTTTTTTTTTTTGTTGCAGTCAGCCGCCCAACACATATACATTTTGAGGAAAGATTGCATTAATCTTTACCCAACACCCCCTAATAATTAGATAAATAAGTTAATTTTAAAAAACTCAAATAAAAAGCCATTAAGGTTTTTTTATATAAGAGCATTTTGACTTCTCAATACTTGTCCACGTTGATGGCAAGAATTATGTTTGGAAGAAGAGCATTGCTCCTCTTATATAGAGAAGTCCAAGAGCTCATCTTTTGAAGCATTTTCGACGTGGGTTCAAAATGATCCCACATCATTTACAAAGGGGAGCCACGGGCTCCCCTTTGTTTTGTTTTGTTTTGGTTTTTTTTGTTGTTTTTTTTTTAAAAAAAATTAATTTTATTTTGTATATAGTTTTGTTTTGATTAATTATTATATTATTAATATTATTTTTATTCTAATTTTATTTTATTATTACATTATATAATAATAATAATAATAATAATAATAATAATAATAATAATATAAATTTTCTTTTAGACAATTTTCTACTGTGCAACCAAACATTAAAAAGAGAAATATTTTCTGAATAATAACTCATTTTACAGAAATCATTTTCCTATTTTCCAAACGAACTTTTAACAATTAATTTTTTAAATACCATAATAATTATTAGATAATGGCCTTGTTTGATTATTGACAAATTCGTCAAAATTTTATCAAATTCGTCATTTTAACATTTTGTCTTTAATCAAAACACCAAAAATATTATGTAATAACTCAGCAATTTTCTCCAAACTGCTAAAAACTAAAACAACAAATATGCATTTTGGGTTAATATTTCCCAAACACCCCTAATAAATAATTTTTTTTTAAAAAAAACTTAAATAAAAAGCCATTAAATTAAGACTTCTTAAATAAGAGTCTTTTGGCGGGCAAGTAATTATGTTTGGAAGAGAAACATTCTCCTCTTATATAGAGGAGCTCAAAAGCTCATTTTTCCAAACATTTCCATCCGATATCATTTACAAAGGGGAGCCAGGCTGAGAGGCGAAAGGGTGAGACGCCCTCTCTCTCAGACTCTCACCCTTTCGCCTCTCTCACTCTCAGCTTCTCACCCTTTTGCCTCTGAGTCTCACCTCGGTCTCTCATACTCTCACCTTGACTACCAGAAGTGAGACACCCAGAACAGGACCGGCGACCGCCAACGTCTCCACCGGCTCCCTTGTTCTAGCATATCAGCTCGTCTCTGTTCTCTTTCTCCTTATGTCGTCCTTCTAACGCTCGCCGCCTTCTCGGATTCTTTGGCTCCTTTCCGTCGTTCTTGAGTTCAGCTACCGCCACGCACTATTCATTCATTCATACATCTAAAGCTCGGCAAAATCTGAAGACCCAAATGTCGCTATATATATTGCTATCTAACAAATTGAAAATACTCATTGAAAACTGAAAAGACTCTTTGAAAATAACATGTGGTCATTATTTTTTCCTTGGAGATATAAAAAAAAAACTTATTAATAAATAGACTGCTTTTTAGAATATTCTTTCCTTAGTAGAGGATATCTGACAAATCTATATCTATTTATCTATAAATAAATAAATTCTCTATTTATATAAAAAAAAATGTGTTCACATTAGGCGGGAAAATGCTACTTTGTGATTGGCCAAGATGATATGACTTTATTATATAGAAAGAAGAAGATTTGGTGTAAACCACACAATGTGGTTCGTGTCTTTTTCTGTCCATTTAACGGTCCAAGTCCAATTGAACCCAGGTTAACCCGAAATCCCCCACAAATAAAGCTCATTTGCCACTTGAGCTACTCTGATTGGTTGACATATATATATATATATATATATATATATATATATATATATATACACAAAGCAGTGAAAACCTGAAATCAATATGCTAAGTCAAACATTATATTAGTATACAATTCAAAAAGGGCAAGGAAAAACTGACAAGAAAGAGACAACATTATTTAACAAGAAGCATAACCCACCCAATTAGAACAAGCAGATCAAAGAGTACAATAGCCGAATAGTTGAAGAGAGTTGGGGAGCTGCACATGTGGACGTCACTCAAAATTAAAATTCTTACTTGTGAGAACTCAAATCCACCTTTCCTCGATTCAAATTAGAAGTGGATTTTACTAATAAGTGACAATGATAATCCAAAATGACCACTTGAAATATCATTTTTTAAGACAATTTTTTCAGCACATTGCACATAGGGCCGGTGTGATTGGAGCGTTACGTTGCAAGCTTGCACGATAAATGAGTATAGTGTACAAGTCAAGTGTCATGTAATTTGAGATGTGTGTTTAAAATGCATGTTTACAATCGTGCATAGTATAGTGGGTCCTTGTGAGGGAAATGGTTGGGTCAGGTATTATTTTAACGAGTTCTACTAGAACTCCAAAATTCTACTCTATGTGGCAAGCATAGATAAGACATTTTCATCTTGTGGATTCAAGAAAAGTTATCTACATTCAAGATTTAAGAGATGGAATAAAAATCGAGCGTAGAATTTGAAAGTACAAGTAATATTTTTCTTTTTTAACCGACTAATAAAAATCAATAACATGAGAATTACGTGTTTGTAATGAGCTTGAAACTCCAAACCATGAAGACAAATTATTTTGTAGACCTGAGTCCACGTTGCAAGGTGGACCTGGGTCCCAAAATACATAATTTATATACTGAATGCTCGCAATTTGAATTATAAACATTCAGTATATAAATTATATATTTTAACTAGAGTCTATTGCAAGGTGGACCTGGATCCATGGTATAACTGTCTGAAAAACGGTGCCACTAACAACACCGTTACTCCCGAATTACAGAACGGTGTTATATTGGGCCGTGTCCCCCTTGCAAGAGTGTGGTTGGATAAGCCCATAAAAAAAGCTATTTAAATGGCCCAAAAAACTACTCTCAAAGTCAAGGTCTGTTTGTTTGGTCTACTTTTTTGTTCCAAATATTGACTATTTGATGGTCAGCTAGTCAACTGCAAGTCCACAAAAATTACTCCATATCAAACAGTGCTTTACCGCCCAGTATTTGCAGCCAACCAAATACTACTATACTAGCAATCAATAAGTCCTCTTAAAAATCTTAATGGCGATCAACGGAGACAAAGCCAATCCCACTTCCGCCGCCGCGGCGCCACCGACGGTCTTCATCTCCACCGCCACTCTCCGCCGTCTCCTCACGCACGCCTCCCTCATCCGCCACCTGCACTCCACCCTCTCCACCAACATCCAATCCCCCGTCCGCCACTCCCACGAGACAACCCCTTCCTCCTCCCTCCTCCTCATGCCGTCCTGGTCTCTCTCCCCTTCCCTCCCCTACGTCGGCGTCAAGTTAGTCACTCACCACCCCAATAACTCCGCCCTAAACCTCCCCGGAGTGCACGCAAGTTACGTGCTCTTCAACTCCCTCACCGGCCAAACCTTAGCCACCATGGACGCCACCGAGCTAACCCTTTACCGCACTTCTTGCGTCTCAGCTTTAGCTTCCAAATTCTTGTCGAGGGAAAACTCCGAGACCCTTGTAATGATCGGGGCTGGTTCTTTAGCCCCGCATTTGATCAGGGCCCACCTGGCTGTCCGGCCAGGGTTGAAGAGAGTGATAATCTGGAACAGAACTGTTGGAAAGGCACAATCTTTGGCTGAGAAGTTGCAAAATGAGAGCGGATTTGAGGGGGTGATTCTGGAGAGCAATGGGAGTTTGGAGGGGGTGGTGGGGTTGGGAGATATAGTGAGCTGTGCCACAAACTCAGAGACTCCATTGGTGAAGGGGGGAGAATTGAAGGAAGGAGCACATTTGGACTTGGTGGGATCCTTCAAGCCGTCTATGAAGGAATGCGACGACGAGGCAATCAAGAAGGGGAGAGTGTTTATAGATAACGAGGCGGCTTTGGTTGAATCTGGGGAGTTAGTGGGAGCATTTGAGAGAGGTGTGATCACAAGAGATGATATAAGAGGAGATTTAGTGGAGTTGATAAAGGGAGAAAAGAATGGGAGGAAGAGCCAAGAAGAAACCACTGTGTTCAAATCAGTTGGGTCTGCTGCTGTGGATCTTCTCACTGCTCAGTTGGTTTATGAAACCTGCATAAAAAATCAAGTTCATGGATGAACTAACTTCTGCTCTTTTCCTGCATTTTTTCTCTCTTCTGTTCATGTATCTGCAGTTTCAATTTTCCAATACAAATAAAAAGGCAATATAATGTCATTCTCAGTGAACTTGTAATTCCTGGTTTATGATTCTAATGCAATATATTGTAATGCATCATCTAGGTTGTTGTCTCGGGCGAATCATATTCACCTGTGTTTCAGCTTGGCTGCAAACACACATTTCATTTGCATCATCAAGCTTGTTCTCTCGGGCGAATAATATTGAGCTGTGTTTCAAATACATGTTTCATTTGGAAAGTATGGGGCAATTGTATAAAACAGACAGACAAATATCTATGGTGTAGTATGTAGGTTACAAGTTCAACTTGCAGCAGGAGTGGCCTATTGGCCTTTTTGGTTTGAGCTACTAGCTATGGGCAACCTAAGTGATCGTTTGTTGTCTAGTGTCGGAAGGCAGAGTTTACCTAGTACACATTCTCGGATAATAGTTGCGAGTTTCCTCGTCACTCAAGAAAAGAAAAGTAGAAAGAGAATTGTGTGTAATGTTTGAACTTGTTCCACAAAGAACTCTTCAATTAATACCAAAAGATTGCAGTCTGGGCTGCTTCAAACTTCAATATATAGCAGAGTTTTACTTGCCACTAAACTTTCACAAAATCCATGTGTCTATATTGCACAAGAAAAGCTTGATGGCTTGAATACCCAAGCTTTTCCAATATGGAGACATGTAAGTGTCAAACAACCCTGGGTTTTGGGCAATTAAAGTTGTAATTTTTAAATGCAGACATATAAAACTATAAACATAAGCTTGATCATCCAGAAAAAGTCATGTCATATCTAACTTTTATCATAACAAACTCATTAAAGATTCGTTGATCATTGCATATAAATCAATAGGCTTGTTCTGTATATTCATGTTGAATCTACCAAGAACATTATTGAACAAGAAGCATAACCCACCCAAGAACATGCAGATCACATAGCAAAGATAATTCTAAGTGGGATAACTCGAGCGAAATTGATTAGGTTATTAAATTGGTATCTACAAGGTTACAAGTTCAACCTCCGGTGAGAGGGGCTTATTACTGTCTTAGTTTGAACCGGTCTGCTCTAAGCTTATTTACCTTCTTGTTTTGACCTTTTACAAACTAGGGTTACAATGTAGGTTTACAGTACACATTCACTGAAAAAAAAAAAAAGGATAAACCTACAGTTCTACAGTTCTACACAGAACTAGCAAAACCCAAATCCAATTCAGTCAAAGATATGAAAATAAACAGGGCACTTATCATTTACAAGAACGAAAAAGTTTCAATCTTTGCACAAGAATGGCATATAATCTGCAAAGGACCAGTGTAAACCTGGAAATGGAAGGAGAAAGACAACAACCTTCGTATTATTTTCCAACTTCTGGAACTTACTCGAGAATCCAGGGTGGCAATATTGGTAAAAGACAACCTTTTTCATTGCTATATCACACTCGATTAAGGTGAATATCACAACTCCATTGTCAACGGTTCCATGGTGTAGTGGTTAGCACTCTGGACTTTGAATACCCAGTGACTTGGGTTCAACTCCCGGTGGGACCTTCACTTTTTGAACTAAAATTTTAAGTGTTCATGCACAAATCTCTGCCAAGTTTTTGCCTTGCAGAGTTGCAGACATCTCAAACCTGTGTGGCAAACAACACCTTTGTTGTCAAGGGTTCCATGGTGTAGTGGTTAGCACTCTGGACTTTGAATCCAGCAACCTGGGTTCAACTCCCGGTGGGACCTTTGTATTGAGTTGAACATAGTTCGAGTTTATATAGTTATTAAAATAATATAAATAAAATACCTGTAGGGGGATCAATCAACGGTGCTCTAGCCACCAAAGCATGTGTAGGTTACAAGTTCAACTTTGCAGCCTTCTTGGTTTGAGCTGCTAGCTACGGGCAACCTAAGTGATCCTTTGTTGTCTAGTGTGAGAAGGCAGAGTTTACCTAGTACACATTCTCGGATAATAGTTGCGAGTTTCCTCGTCACCCAAGAAAAGAAAAGAAGAAAGAGAATTGTGTGTAATGTTTGAACTTGTTCCACAAAGAACTCTTCAATTAATACCAAAAGATTGCAGTCTGGGCTGCTTCAAACTTCAATATATAGCAGCAGAGTTTTACTTGCCACTAAACTTTCACAAAATCCATGTGTCTATATTGCACAAGAAAAGCTTGATAGCTTGAATACCCAAGCTTTTCCAATATGGAGACATGTAACTTGTAAGTGTCAAACAACCCTGGGTTTTGGGCAATTAAAGTTGTAATTTTTAAATGCAGACATATAAAACTATAAACACAGCTTGATCATCCAGAAAACTCAAAGTCATGTCATATCTAACTTTTATCATCACAAACTCATTAAAGATTCGTTGATCATTGCATATAAATCAATAGGCTTGTTCTGTATATTCATATTGAATCTACCAAATCTCCAAAATATACATCTTGCACCTAGACTGAAATGAACTAAACCTTAATGATGTCTAGATTGATTTGATGAAGTTCAATTCCCAGGGTTCACAGTGCAGTAGCTGGGTAAGTACAATTAGAGCAATAATCACAACTTATACAGATTAGTGAAAAACTGAAATCAATATGATATGATGATTAAGGGAATATCTTTATTATTATAACTGATTTATTATCTTTACTATTAGAATTGATTTATTTCCTTTAGAGATAGCAAATAATTAGGGTAAGGATCTTTAGTGATTCTCCTTTCCTTTTTATGTTTTTGCTAGTCTTCCTTTCCTTTTTATGTTTTACTAGTCTTTGTAACCCTCTTATATAAAGGGGATTTTCATTCTAATAAAAGGACAAGCAAGAAAGAAGTTAAGTTAAAATCAAGAGGTGGGAAAACTCTCAAAACGTTCCTATTATCTTTGTTCCTTATATTTATCTCTCAACATAGACAACCCCAATAACCCTACTCGCCCTTTGACGCGTGCTTTCACCCGAAAACATAACATTTTGGTTCCGTTGCCGGGCGTCAATATGGGCGATATCAAGAAACTCCAGGACGAGGTCCGAGCTATCCAGGCATCCATCGAAAAACTGGAACACCTTCCTGCAGCTGTGGACTCTCTAACCGAAACAGTAACCAATCTCTCCCAGATGGTGCACTCTTTCTTCACATCGCAGGCCACCACTTCCACAACTGTGGCAGCCTCTCATGGCAACCAAGCCACTCCGGAGACTGCACTGCCGCAGCCAGCTGCTCCCATTCCGGCTACACGATTCACCAGATTGGAGTTCCCCACTTTTGATGGCAAAGGGGACCCTCTTGTTTGGCTCCATCGCTGTGAGTTGTTCTTTGATAAATCACCGCATTCTGATCATGAGAAGGTTACCACAGCAGCGTATTATCTGTTCGATAGCGCCCAACTGTGGTACAAACGTCGCATGCAGGATGGTCAACAATTTTCTTGGAATCAATTCAAAGGTGCATGCACCCTCCGTTTTGGACCACCCCGGAGCATCAACCCGTTAGGTGAACTGGCAAACCTCAAACAACATGGTCGGGATTTAGACGAATTCATAGATGATTTCCAGACCCTCCTCGCTAGAGCTGACAACGTCCTTTATTCTCAACAAGTCAATCTGTTCACAGCCGGCCTTGATGAGGTTCTACGTATAGATGTTGAAAGGATGCGGCCAGTTTCTCTTGATGAGGCCATTAACATAGCACGAGATTATGCTCGTAAAGGCCTCCTGCTTCACAATGCACCTCCCCGACAAACTTTCCCATCCCAAACACCCCCTAGTTGCGCCATAACAGTGCACCAACAGCCACAATCACGCCCTCAGTTCCATAAACTCTCCCCGACAGAAATGATAGAGCGCCAAAAGCGTGGCCTCTGCTATAATTGTGATGAACCATGGGTAAAGGGCCATCGTTGCAAACAACAACTATACATGCTTGGCTTTAATGGCGAAGGGGACGATGAGCCAATTGACGCAACGACCCCAGACTAATCAATTCCCACTTTTCTAGATTTCAAGCTTGAGGACAAGCTTGATGTCCAAGAGGGGAGTAATGATATGATGATTAAGGGAATATCTTTATTATTATAACTGATTTATTATCTTTACTATTAGAATTGATTTATTTCCTTTAGAGATAGCAAATAATTAGGGTAAGGATCTTTAGTGATTCTCCTTTCCTTTTTATGTTTTTGCTAGTCTTCCTTTCCTTTTTATGTTTTACTAGTCTTTGTAACCCTCTTATATAAAGGGGATTTTCATTCTAATAAAAGGACAAGCAAGAAAGAAGTTAAGTTAAAATCAAGAGGTGGGAAAACTCTCAAAACGTTCCTATTATCTTTGTTCCTTATATTTATCTCTCAACATAGACAACCCCAATAACCCTACTCGCCCTTTGACGCGTGCTTTCACCCGAAAACATAACACAATATGCTTAGTCAAACATGACTATACAATTCAAAAAGGGCAAGGAAAAACAGACAAGAAAGAACATTATTGAACAAGAAGCATAACCCACCCAAGAACATGCAGATCACATAGCAAAGATAAATCTAAGTGGGATAACTCGAGCGAAATTGGTTAGGTTATTAAATTGGTATCTACAAGGTTACAAGTTCAACCTCCGGTGAGAGGGGCTTATTACTGTCTTAGTTTGAACCGGTCTGCTCTAATCTTTGCACAAGAATGGCATATAATCTGCAAAGGACCAGTGTAAACCTGGAAATGGAAGGAGAAAGACAACAACCTGCGTACGGAGTATTATTATCCAACTTCTGGAACTTACTCGAGAATTCAGGGTGGCAATATTGGTAAAAGACAACCTTTTTCCTTGCCATATCACACTCGATTAAGGTGAACATCACAACTCCATTGACAATGGTTCCATGGTGTAGTGGTTAGCACTTTGGACTTTGAATCCAGTGACCTGGGTTCAACTCCCGGTGGGACCTTCAATTTTTCAATTTTTGAACTAAAAATCTTAAGTGTTCATGCACAAATCTCTGCCAAGTTTTTGCCTTGCAGAGTTGCAGAGATCTCAAAGCTGTGTGGCAAACAACACCTTTGTTGTCAAGGGTTCCATGGTGTAGTGGTTAGCACTCTGGACTTTGAATCCAGTGACCTGGGTTCAAATCCCGGTGGGA